AAAGGGAAAATTAACCAATATTTCAAAAATCTTCTCCTCCAGACTCAGAGGTACTACAGTGATTTTCTCAACGTGGAAAGAAATATCATCAGGGGCTTTACTTAAATTGTAAATTTCAGGACCCCCGAGCTATCCGTTCTCCCTTGGAGAGGGGGTAAAGTTTACCATAGCTTATATAGGGAAATAACACTTTGGGGTATATTGTGACAACTTTCCGTAGGAAATTATTTTTACTTGGTGAGAATTATTCTTGGAGGGAGATGGTTTTAAATTGTAAAATTGAGATTCCTACCCCGACCCCTGGGGCCAGGGCGGGGCCCGAAAGGGAAAATTAACCAATATTTCAAAAATCTTCTTCTCACAGACTCAGAGGTTCTACAGTGATTTTCTGTACGTGGTATGAGAGATCATCAGGGGCTTAACTTAAATTGTGAATTTCAGGACCCCCGAGCTATTCGTTCTCCCTTGGGGAGGGGGTAAAGTTTACTATAGTTTATATAGGGAAATAACACTTTGGGGTATATTGTGACAACTTTCTGTAGGAAATATTATTTTTACTTGGTGAGAATTATCGTTGATGAAGATGGTTTTAAATTGTAAAATTGAGATTCCTACCCCGACCCCTGGGGCCAGGGCGGGGCCCGAAAGGGAAAATTAACCAATATTTCAAAAATCTTCTTCTACAGACTCAGAGGTACTACAGTGATTTTCTGTACGTGGTAAGAAAGATCATCAGGGGCTTTACTTAAATTGTAAATTTCAGGACCCCCGAGCTATCCGTTCTCCCTTGGGGAGGGGGTAAAGTTTACTATAGTTTATATAGGGAAATAACACTTTTGGGTATATTTTGACAACTTTCTGTAGGAAATTATTTTTACTTGGTGAGAATTATCCTTGGAGGTAGATGGTTTCAAATTGTAAAATTGAGATTCCTACCCCGACCCCTGGGGCCAGGGCGGGGCCCCAAAGGGAAAATTAATCAATATTTCAAAAATCTTCTTCTCCAGACTCAGAGGTACTACAGTGATTTTCTCTACGTGGAAAGAAAGATCATCAGGGGCTTTATTTAAATTGTAAATTTCAGGACCCCCGAGCTATCCGTTCTCCCTTGGGGAGGGGGTAAAGTTTAATATAGTTTATATAGGGAAATAACACTTTTCGGTATATATTTTATCCATTTTCAGCAGAAAATTACTCAAACTTAATCAGAATCATCTTGGGTGAATGAGAGTATTACTTTGTAAAATTGGGATTCCTGCCCCATCCCCAGGGGCTAGGGCGGGGCCCCAAAGGGAACATTTACCAATATTTTCAAATTCTTATCCATTGATGACATGACAAGTATTGTATTTCACTTAGTTAACATGCTGATTTCCACATCACATCTAAACAATAAACTAAAGCTACCAGTACCTATGATATAACTCAGGTGACCGCTAAGGCCCTTGGGCCTCTTGTATAAAAATATATTGGTATATTTATCCGCTCCGTGATAGGTGATGGTTTACTTATCAGTGACGGTAAGAAGTGGGAGAGAAACAGACGCTTGTTAACACCAGCATTCCACTTTGACGTACTCAAGCCCTATGTACAAATCTATAACAGCGTTTTCAGCATCTTCCTGGTGAGTTATTGCCGTCGAAGGCGAAACAATTTTTCTTGTGTTTTCGTGATGTGAACTCTTACATAATTTTCTTTTCTTTTGGTTGACGGATCTTCTCAAGTTTTCGCAGTATTTGACTGATCCAACTTCGATTTTACAGGTTTCTAAAATGTATACAGCACACACTGATCGATACAAATATAGCAGGATACAGAAGTCACCTTAGTCAGGCAATATAGAAAAGGGCCACTAAGCTGTTACACGCACTTTAGTGATCATTGAGAATATTAATGATAGCAGATACATTGGAAATACCATATATTGAGCCAATCCCTTTACACATTGTACATTTCAAAAGGATAAGTTGGAGAAGGCGACCTCTGGCGGTAAAAGCGTGGAGATATATGAGTCGGTAGGGCTGGCTACTCTCGATACCATGTTGCGTTGCTCAGTGTCATACGATGCGAAAGTCCAGGAACAAGGGTAAGTTATTCAGTATATGATGTTTTTATTCGCGAAATGATTTCTTGGATTTGTCCTGGGGTTGTGTGATGGATACACCAGTTTGATCAGAAAACGCTCATTGTGAACATCTGGATCACTTCCGTCGTATATTTTGGCCCATTGCTGACTTACTTCAACTGCGTTTTCCTCAATGATTATTTGGCTATTACTGTGATGGAGTCAACATTTGTCTCAAATATTGTGTTCATAGACCCAACAATCCTCGGTGAAATATATTTACGCCAAAATTATTTAAATTGCAGTTCAAACCATCCATACGTAGACGCAGTACGAAGACTGAGCTACATATCCCAGGAGAGACTTCTGTGAGTAAAGCATTAGCAGACACCCACCATCAGCCACTTGTCGAGGTTTGACGCATTCTAATAGTAAATCTGTCTCTAAAAATAATAAAGCAGGGACCATTCATTATAATGTCAAGTTATTATTAAGTTGAAATCTCTTGGTCAGTATGCTCGAAGATGAAATTGAGATAACGGTTAAAATTGTGGTATTTAAGGGACGAGCAATTATATCAGATATGACATTGATAAGAATATTGTTTAATACGTAATACAAATTATTACTCATTAGTTAAGATTTATGCGTAACTTCAGATAATACAGAATATCAGATTTTTGTGTTCAAGTGTGTGTGAAAGGTATTGAACTGTTACCACAGTTCGTAATAATATTCATCAGTTTGATATCAATAATAAATGACTGGTCCATGTTCAACACAAGCAGAGAAAACCCATTTTGTGAGCTTTCGAACACGCCTGTTCCCTTTGAAAAGCAAACAGTGCAAATGACCGTTTTTTCGTCTCAAAAACCGCTGGAAACAACCCAATAAGCCCAAAGCTCAGCTGTCAGAAAGTATCGAGATTTGGTCCTGATACACGTTTTCGATAGCTCTTAAACAAGTCTTCAAAAGGTGTTAATGTTCAAAATAAAATAAAACATATCGTTACAACAGTTGTTTTGAACACAAACAGTAGTATTGAATATATACTGTTCCCGTTCCATATAAAATACTATCGTCTCGACTTATCACAATAACTTAGAAAATCTTCAATGCATGAATTGATACCAAGTGGAATACAATTTTATAAAAATAGTCTTAATTAAGTTGAATTTGTTTACAAGTTAACAGATTTAAACGTGGATTACTATTGTTTCTACTATACAGGCGCCCTTGGCTGACCCCAGACTTTCTGTTCTACCTGTCACCAATCGGAAGGGAGTTTTCCAAACATGCAAAATACGTACACGATTTCGACGAAAAGGTCATACGGGAAAGAAGAAAATCGTTGGTAGGTTGAAACATTTTCTAGTAAGTTTTGTTTCGTTTTCTTTTCCTTTTTTGTTTTTGATAGCACACTCGCAATTTACCAAGTCGGCCTGGGTTTGATTCCCTGACTGGCCATGAAAAGGTACAGGGTCAATGTACTTAGATAATTTCTGAGAACTCGGGTTTCCCTGTAACTTAGACTCCTGTAGTTGTCCAACCGGCCAACGAGATTGATCAATATAAACGATAAAACATTGTTTGCTAATTGTTCTATATTTGACTAAGCTTACTATGTGAAATTTACTCTGCATGTCCTGGTATCTGGCGCTATAATTAAGGTGGAAAAGGAGTATGATTTGATCCCACTCTTAAGTTCGAATATCGTTTTATCAATCAAAGTCGAACGGTAACAGAATACCAAGTCAGCACATTACACTTTTGTAACGATTTAAACTCCACACTTTAGGAAGCACTCCGGTTGCTTCGTAACCAAATATAATAAAATCAATTTGCTGAAATGGTCGTGTTAATTATTTGATTGATATTGGATAATTTATAGAAACTCACTTCCTATAAACCGTTATGGTTATATAATATTTCACTTCAACAAAGATTCTACGAATATGTTGTGGTGTAAAAAGGGATATTCTTACTAAGACAAAATATTCGCAAAAGTACGAACAAGACTAAAGTATGACTACTAAAGGAAATTGTCTACTTTTAATAAAATTGAGTTGAAAGCTCCACTACCCTAAATAATAAATATAATTGAAGAAATATAGACTAAACTTATTAAGGATTGCTTTTCATGATACATATAAAAAAAACTGAAGATTTAATCTATCTTTCAAATGGTATGAAAAATAAAAATATAAATAAATTATAATTTTATTTTTTTCTCAAAAAGCCTGTATCATCATATATGAGTACATTTCAAGCGACTATTCGCAATTGCATTAGAACGATTACACGTTTGAGTGTTTGTGTGCATATGTAATGCAATACATTCGTATATGTTTTGTGGTCTGCTTGTAGGCAGATAACCCATCTGTTCTCGAAAAGCGTCACCTGGACTTTCTGGATATCCTGCTGACCGCCCGTGACGAACAGGGCACTGGGCTGACTGACCGTGAGGTCAGGGATGAGGTCGACACTTTCCTCTTCGAAGGTATGTTGCACGAGTATCATTATTATTATTAAATAAAACATCGTACATCCCCCACGACTTTCCCCGGTCATATTTCCCATAATCGGTTCCCCTCTAGACAAATTACAAAGAAGCACCACATCGGAGAAACGAGAAGTAAACGAGAACTGAAGTAAATGACAACAATGGCGCAGAAACCTGATCATCTCAACAGATTTGTTGTTTTATTTCGCCATCATGAAAACTTATTAATTTCGCAAATCTTCTATCGTTATATATACATTAATCTATTTACAGGCCACGACACCACTGCTTCATCAATTGGTTGGGCGATCTACGCATTGGCAAAATATCCAGAGGAACAACAAAAAGTGTATGAAGAAGTGAAAAGAGTTTTGGGAGGCAGAGAAAATGTAGAATGGTACGTTAATAAAACACACAGAGGAAATAGTCTTTAGTTTGTGGTATGGCAGATTCTGATATTTTTCTCAAAACCTCTAACTCATGATATTCAACGGAACACGGCTATTTTTCTCTTCAATGCAATGTATTGAGACACCAAATTAACAGTGAAAGTCAGTATTTACCAGGTATTTCTATCTTCCTTGACCACCACACTCACCTAAGTAAAACTGTTAAGAAAAACAGAACGGAGGAACTGTGAAATACCAAGTCACCTCCATTAACGTGTTGAACTTTACAACATGTGTAATATTTTGATGATCTGGAAGGGTTATAGTTCCCTGGTGCACATGTGAAACTGATATGTTTCTGCAACATTTGTTTTAAAAATGTGATATATTAGAAAATCGCTATACAATAATTAAAAAAAAATGGTCGACTTGTCGTTAACGCATGGTTTTATAATTCATAAAGGTCTGATATCCAGGAGTTTACCCGGTTGTCCCTGTTTATAAAGGAAACAATGCGAATGTACTCGCCCGTTCCTGCTATTGCTAGAGTGACCACACGTGAAATGGAACTTGAGGGCGTGGTAATTCCGGTCAATACGGAGGTCACCATCATGATACAAGTCCTCCATCACAACGAGGAGATCTGGAACAAACCAGAAGTATTAACTACAAAATAGGCGTAATAACGATTGGTAAACAATGCAGATAGGAGATTCCTGCCTGTACTGTTCACCATTAGTTCACTCATTAGTTTTCTATATTTGATAACCTTTCCTTCAAATTTGTACCGTTTTGCAATAATCGACAACTATATATTAAATTGATATAATCGTCATTTGTGCATCATAATGTTACAACTGTGTATATTATTCGGAAAATAGTATATACAATGCATTTGGTTTAATTGACAATACGATTGTTTATATGATTTTTTCCAATGATTTACCGTGGACAATGACAACAAAACGTTAATTCGACAAAAAAGACAATTTGGATAATGAAATAAAATTTCGACGGTTTGATTAAGGTAATATGCCAGTGACAGAATTCACCCATGGAATTTGTTCCAAGTTCTTGATATGTTACAAGGATGAAAACATAACTTTAATTGCTTACCCTTAATGCTCAGTCCTGGTAAGGCAAGAAGTAATTGATAAAACGTCAAATGTTGTTCAGGACCAGATCTATGTACGCATTGCTTAAATATGAACATGGACCTGGTTCAGTGATATTAATCCCCTTGTATTGATAGGAGTTCAGGACTGACCGCTTCGCTGAAGAATCCAAAAGGGATCCATATAGCTATGTGCCATTTTCAGCAGGACCAAGGTAGGCGTTTTGGTGACTAATACTAATTTGTTAATCATTATTATTCAGTAGGATTAACACAACGAATTACTCTGATGAGAGCCCACTTCGCACAAGTTTTGTTTCTGCTGATGTGTTCTTCAATGGAATTATGTTTAACTAAGCATCATTATTTACAAAAACAATTCTTTCTACACAAAATGCTCTCTCAGAATGCCTTTTCAGAAAAAGTTATCTCTGTAGTACCAATAAACTTATCTAGAACTGTTCTTAGAATCGATTCAAAGATACATACACGAAACAACATGTTAATATATACATCTTATTCAAAACAGAAATTGTATCGGTCAGCATTTCGCCTTGAATGAACAGAAAGTGGCGCTTGCAAGATTAGTTCAACGGTGAGTGACTTTCGTACATGGTTTATAGATTAAATCAAAATATTATTCTGATACAGAAGTAACAGATGATAAAATAATCAACGTTATTCTTACTTTAAAAAGTGCATTTTTCAAAATTGTCCTTTCATTTGATTTACAGAACATCAAACTCACGGTGATCGATTGTGACTTAAGTTAATTACATTGGTTCATTCTCAATTGTCAGTAATACGTGTAGATAAAACTCGTACGTCTTTGAGAATTGCCTCAATCAAATCAATATATGTCTACTTATCATCGCTAGTTGGACATTCCAAATGCAAATCTCGTTTATCTTTTTTTCAGATTCCGGATATTACCTGATCCCAACAATGTTGCAGTACCAACGAACGCAGTGGTGACGCGTTCTAAAAACGGAATCTATATTAAACTGGAAAAACGATAATCTAACAAAATGTCTTTGAAAAATAGAAAATGAGAAAACAGTGGTGAATCAAACCCTGACATAGGACACTATGTAGACCATTTCGAAGGTATATCAAACAACTGTCTCAACTCCGATATGTAAAACACTGTCTTTTTCCCCTTTTATCATCGGTATTTATTTACTTTTTTTTGTAGTTACAATATGTATATCTTAGTAAGGAAAATAATATTAACAGTTAAATAACCTGTGTTTAATGTGCCACACTTGTAATTTTCAAGGTTTTACAGGTTGTACAGAGTTATTGTTTCCTCTTCCGGGAAGAGATACATGTATATATCTCGCAATATATACGTAACAAAGGATCACTATTTGTGTGTTTATTAAGGCTTTCATTACCTTATTACCTATCAGTTTTCATCCGTATGTAATATGAGTACCAAGTGAGCAAAGGTAAATTTAACGTAAAGCGCTATCGTTGAACATGTCTTCGTCAAGGCGACTTTCTCGTGCCTGTAAATGACAAATGAAAACAGTACAGTGCTTATAAAGACCAGGTTTTCGCAATTTTTGATAGAAAAATGAAATCTACTAAATAAAATTCAGCATTAAGTTCATAATATGAAGCCTTAAAAGAGCGTAGCTTTTTTTGATCTTTGATATTTACTGATTCAGAATACTGCTTTCAGAATGCGATAAGATAAACTTCATTTAAAGTCAACAAGTCGAGGAATAACAATAAAACACAAGCTCTAATGAGATTAACGACATAACAATAGGGGAGACTTGGCAAGTTCGCTTTTTTATTATTATTATTAAAGTTCGTTCTAGGAAGTATGGCAGCACGACCGTCTTTGAACATAATTTAACTTTTCCTGAAGATCGGATGGCCGAACGAGCCCCGCCATGGGGTATACGTAAGTTCGGACAGGCATTCGGGTAAATTCGACCCCCATTGGAATCGGCTTAATTATGACTTCATAATGCATGCAACATTAGATTTTACCGACAATTTTACGACGTTTTATTTGTAAACTACATGGGCCGACCTTGCCACGGTATTATTGGCCGAACCTGTTCAGGCCCAAATTGATATTTCAATAAATTCTTATCGTACAGCAATATGGTAGTAAGCTGTCAGTGTGTGTTTCGCATAACTAGAAGCGAGATCATGATTTTCTTTCTACCCTCTCAAAAGTGATTTTCTCCTGTTAAGTAATTTTACATTAGAGTTTTCCTCAACATTTTTTCGTTCAATGCCCAGCTAACTTAACTGCTAACATCCTTAAAGATGTAAATATTAGCTCAAAAACAAAAAATATCAGGGGTGACCGAACTTGCCCCAGTTTACCGTTTGTAGATTTTTGTATCATTGACAATTGGTAAAAATGTATCACAATTTATGTTTAACATCAATGACGCCATTTTCTACCAGTCAAAGCTTAAATAGATATTTGTTCTTGTGCGTAACGTATATGATGGGTCGGTCGGCGCAGTGGAAAGCGCGCTCACCAAGGTGGCCGGATTCCATCCCGGTCACTTGCCCAAATCACGAGGGTTTTCACCGGATACTCCAGCTTCCTCCCACATTAAGAATTAAATCCTCTGCGTGCTTCCGTCAGGTCACAAAAAGGATGATTGAGATCAGTTTTGGGAAAAACATGTTTGGTAATTGCTATAGAAAAAGTGCATACTACATATTTGACAATTAGTTTAAGTAAATGTATAGAGATGTTAGTTAAAATCTAAAATTAAAAAAAAGAAAACATTGTTATACTTTAATGTAACTGAGATCGTCGTTATATCGATATGTAGTCTCAATCACGACTCCATCCAGCAACACCGTATTGAATATCAAAATTTGTAACTGTCACCGAGGTTTGACAGGTAATGATTCCAAATAGAATTTAACAGTTTCTGTCTGTAACTAGTTATAAATCGGCACGCGTTGTGAAACAGTAATACGTTGCTGAAAAAGGGGCGTTGCACTTGACCTGGGTTGGTTGTCTGGAAAATTAATGTTAATTTCGTCATAAATGCATTTTACATTGCTTCTTTTATGAGTGGTGATGCATATATAAAGACAATATTTCGTTCATATTCTCAACAAATGGAAATCAAAAGCTGATACAATTTTAAATGATATCTTTTTTGAAGATATCTCCCAACAGAAATATCAACAGAACCGGGTTGATGACAAAAATGATCTTCAGAAAATATCCGCATTTTTACTTTTTGTGCCTGTGGAAAGAAACTGATATAGATAAAAAAAAGTGTTGAAGCAACGACAAAGAGATAAATGCAACGAACATCAGTTCCAGAATTTTCCGGAAATAACCGATGAAGGCTGGTGGATTGTGACGTGTTTGTGACGTCATAGTATGATAATCTCTGAACGAAGTTCCATGCCTGATAGTATCACATTTAATGTGATAGACTTTTTCACTCAGAATGTATATTATTTTTTATCTAAATAAACAAGTAATTACACATGAAGATTGTTTTCACTATATGAAGATATTCAGGCATGGGTTGAAACACAATTGTCTTTGCTTCAAGGATACACTTCCTGTTTCCCCACTGGACGTCTACTTCCGGACGAAAAAAAAAAAGGCAAAGTGTAGAAAGGGGAAGCAACTCTGTTTACCCACGCATGTGTTACCATTAAAGAGCTTCGCTCGGGCGCCTTCGAGCTACGTGTATGATTATAAGACGAGTAATCCATCTGTTTAAGAAGGGTCACTGGTATGAAAGACTACATAAGAAGCATAGTAGATATGAATGCCATCTAAATTTGGTAGCGTTATATAGTTAGAATCCATGGACATGCATAACCGTTTCCATTTTTGTCATAACGAACTTCATATACGCATATGGCATATAGGTTTTCATTTGGGTATAAAAAGTAATAAAGATATGACTTGCAAATTTAATTTATCTCTGAGATAAGGGTACTCGATACCACTTAAACCAGAACAATACCCGCGATACATTATATACATTGACACATTATGTAAATTGATACCTAAGATACATTGATACATAATATACATTGATACATAACATATATTGAAACATAATATACCTTGATACATTATATACATTGATTGATACATTATATACATTGATACAGTATATACATTGATTCATTGTATACATTGATACATTATAGACATTGATACATAATATGTATTGATACATTGTATACATGGATACATAATATCCATTGATAAACTATATATATTGATACATTATTTACATGGATACATTACATACACTGACACATTATATACATTGATACATTATATACATTGATACATTATATACATTTATACATTATATCAATAATACATTATATAAATTGATATATGGATACATTATATCAATGATACATTATATACATTGATACATTTTATACATTGATACATTTTATACATTGATACATTATATACATTGATACATTATATCAATAATACATTATATAAATTGATATATGGATACATTATATCAATGATACATTATATACATTGAAACATTATATACATTGATACATTATATACATTGATACATTGATACATTATATCAATGATACATTATAAACATTGATACATTGATATATTATATACATTGATCCATTATATACATTGATACACTATATACAACGAAACATTATATACATTGATACACAATATGCATTGATACATTATATACATTGATACATTATATACATTGATTTATATACATTGATATACAATATGCATTGATACATTATATAATTATATACATTGATCCATTATATACATTGAGACATTATATCAATGATCTTGCAAATTTAATTTATCTCTGAGATAAGGGTACTCGATACCACTTAAACCAGAACAATACCCGCGATACATTATATACAGTGATACATAATATACAGTATACATTGATACATTTTATACCTAGATACAGTATATGAATGTAACATTATATACACTGACACATTGATACATTATCTAATGTATCAATGTAAATAATGTTTATAATGTATCACTCATATAATGTATCAATATATCAATGTATGTAATGTGTCAGTGTATATAATGTATCCATATATCAATTTATATAACGTATCAATGTATACATTGATACAGTATATACATTGAGTGATACATTATAAACAGTGATACATTGATATATTGATACATTATATTTATATACATTGATATACAATATGCATTGATACATTATAGACATTGATACATTATAGACATTGATACATTATTTACCTTGATACATTGATAAATTAGATACATGGATACAATTATACAGTATATGAATGTAGCATTATATACACTGACACATTGATACATTATTTACATGGATACATTATATACATTGCATTGATATATTATATGAATGATACATTATATAAATGATACATTATATGAGATACATTGATACATAACATATATTGAAACATAATATACCTTGATACAGTATATGAATGTAACATATACACTGACACATTGATATATTATATACATTGAGACACTATATGCATTGATTTCTACATTACATACACTGACACAGTATATACATTGAGTGATACATTATAAACCTTGATACATTATATGCATTGATTGATACATTATAAACCTTGATACATTATATCATTGATACACAATATACATTGATACATAATATTCATTGATACATTATAAACCTTGATACATTATATCACATAATATACATTGATACATAACATATATTGAAACATAATATACCTTGATACAGTATATGAATGATACATTATATCAATAATACATTATATACATTAATACATTGATACATTATATACCTAGATACAGTATATGAATGAAACATTATATACATTGAAACACAATATGCATTGATACATTATAGACATTGATGATACATTGATACAGTATTATATACATTGAGACATTATATCAATGATACATCTATATACAACGAAACATTATGTACATTGATACACAACATGCATTGATACATTATAAACCTTGATACATTATATCAATAATACATTATTTACATGGATACATTATATACAGTGATACATTATATACCTTGATACAGTATATGAATGATACAATACATTATATACATTAATACATAACATTCATTGATACATTATAGACATTGATGATACATTGATACATAACATATATTGAAACATAATATACCTTGATACATTATATGCATTGATTGATACATTCCATCCACTGACACATTATATACAGTGATACATTATATACACTGATACATTATATACATTGATACATTATATACATTGATACACAATATACATTGATACATTGATACATCGATACAGTATATACATTGATTGATACATTATAAACATTGATACATTATATGCATTGATTGATACATTACATACACTGACACATTATATACATTGATACATAATATACATTGATACATTATAAACATTGATACATCACAACCACTGTCACATTATATACATTGATACATTATATACATTGATACATTATATGCATTGATTGATACATTACATACACTGACATATTATATACATTGATACATAATATTCATTGATACATTATATACATTGATACACAATATACATTGATACATTGATACATCGATACAGTATATACATTGATTGATACATTATAAACATTGATACATCACAACCACTGTGACATTATATACATTGATACATTATATACATTGAGACATTATATCAATGATACATTATATACATTGATACATTGATACATTATATGAATGATACATTATATACATTGATACATTGATACATTATATATATTGATACAATATATCAATGATACATTATATACATTGAAACATTATATACATTATATACATTGATACATTGATACATTATATGAATGATACATTATATTAATTGATACATTATATACATTGATACATTGATACATTATATGAATGATACATTATAGACATTGATACATTATATACATTGATAAATATTATGCATTGATACATTGATACATTATATCAATGATAATTATATACATTGATACATTGATACATTATATGAATGATACATTATATGAGTGATACATTATATACATTGATACATTGAAACATTATATACATTGA